ACTCTTAGTTCTGTACTCTAGTGCCCAGGATTTACTATCAACTGATAGTCTATTCCTGTGGTCTGCTTCTCTATATATTACAGACAAATCAGACTATCCGATACTTGTCCTTTTTTCTCTGGTTTATTTCACTCACAGGATCCTCTCCAGATGACACCATCTTTAACAGCAATCTCTGTTCCTATTTCTAAAAGTAAAACTCTGCCTTCATTCTTGGACAGAAAAGACTCATAGTCCAATATCATAGCAAGGGGGCTAGAGTGAGAGTAGTGGATAGGGTGCTTGCCTTGCACATAGCCAACGTGAATTCTATCCCCAGTATCTCATATGGTCCCCTGAGTGATCCCCCAAGCCCACTGAAGTGATTCCTGAGTGTAGAGCCAAGAGTAACACCTGAGCATCGCTGGGTGTGCTCAAAAAAAAAAACCAAAACAAATAAATAAGCAAAGAGAAAAAAATATATGTCATAACAAAGGCCAGAGTGTCAGTACAGTGGGTTGGGTGCTTGCCTTGCAAGCAGATGACCCAGGTTCAATCCCCAGAATACCATATGGTCTCCCAAGCATTGTGAGGAATAATTCACGAGTGCAGAGCCAGAAATAATCCCTGAACATTGCTGGGTATGGCCCCTATTCAAAAAAGTCCAAAACCCCCAAAAACTTCAAAATAAGCATTTTATTAAAATCTCTAAATTAATAATCTATAAAAATCATCATTATCTTTTTTATTTCTAGTTGTGGTAAAATAATCACTTTCATTGAAATATATGTTTATATATATATGCATTTATATAAATATGTATTCCACATACGCATGGGTTTCGTATACATGGTATAAAACATAAGTAACTTCAGGAGGGCTCACTCTGCTCTAGGTGTAACCAGTGAATCAGGAAACTCGGGTTCGGGAGAGAGCTCGATGGGCTTGGGCTGCATCCTTGTTTTGCATGCAGGAGGCCCAGGTATAATCCCCAGGACCAATGAGCAGCCCCTGAGCACCACTGGGTGTGGCCTAAAAATAAACAAAAAAGAAAGAAAGAAAAAAAAATCACGAGAACCCATTACAGAAAGAAGGAACATAAGAGGTTGGCACCAGTGAGGCTGAATGCAAAGGTATGCCAGTCTCATGAACACTCAGCCTAGTAAATATCTAGAGCCCAGGAAAAAATGTGAGTGACGGGGAGGGATGGACGGCATTATGAAATGAATCCTATTTTCTTCCAGGGCTTTCTTTCCTAAATGATTCATTTGTCCACCCAAATGATCGCTAGCCATTTACTAGCCATTGTGGGAAAAATCTGAGAGACTGGTCCCAGTCCTGTCCCAGACCTGTGGGTGCCACATCTCATACTTCCCCACTAAAATGGTAACAGCAGTAGTGAGGGCTGCAAGTAGAGCTGAGCAGCAGCAGTAATGCTCTGGAACAGTATGAAGACTTTTAGATTATACAGCATGACCCCTGGGACCACATCAGGAAGAGTCTATGCATACATTAATCCAAGCAATCCTCACCACAATCCTTACACACACACACACACACACAAACACACATGCGCTTTTATTAATCCAAGCAATCCTCACCACAATCCTTACACACACACACACAAACACACATGCGCGCACGCCTCACTTTATTTAATGCTCACAAGCTCTATGAGTACCTGCTGAGATGCCGAGGTGTTTGCTTAATCCAATAAGGGCACTTGGGATTAGAACTCAAGCTGCTGCTCTCCTGCCTGTGGTCACTGTGGCATGCTGCATCCTTCTATTTCTCCACTCTAATGCTCCATCTGGGTTTGGGGCCTGTGACTCCTGCCCATAGCCCACCCGTTTCAAGACAAACAGTAGAGGAAATCCTGCTCTACCCCACCCAGAGAGTCTTTAAGAGGGGGCCCAGGGCTGCAGTGAATGTGGACTGCCAAAGATTTGTGCAAGCCCCTTCTCCAGGGATCAGCCCCTGTGCAGAAACACTGGGGATGCTCTATCTACCCTTCTCCCCACGGCTGATGGCTCACTGGTCTGGGCTCCTTGTCTGAAGATGCTACCACTCAGAGGTTTGATTTCCTTCCCAGCTCAATAGTGCCAAGCTGAGATGAGATTTCAGCTTCAACCATTTCACCACTTCCTTTACATTTATTTATTTTTGCTTTTTGATTTTGAGTCACATCCAGCAGTGCTCTGGGGACCATATGCCAATGCCAGCGACAGAACCCAGGTGAGCCACATTAACTCCTGTACTCTCTCTCCAATCACTTTCTCACTTGGCATCTTCCCTGGCTGTAACTCCCTTTGCTTCCGAAAGTTTCTCTTGAGAGCCCTCCCCTCAAAATCACTCATGTAAGGATCCCTGGCTCAGTTCAGCTCCTTGGGAGCCTCACTAAGAGACAGCAGGCTTTAAGTAAGCAGTAAAATAAGATAACATTAATTGCAGCTTTGGACAGCAATTAAGTCAGATTAAAAAGAGCTAGGGCAGGCTGACAGCAATAATACAATATATTATTGCTTGCATTGTCTTGCACATGGCTGACCCAAATTTGATCCCCAGTACCACATATGGTCCTCTAAGTGATCCATGAGTGTAAAGCCAGGAGTAGATCCTGAGAACTAATGAATATGGGCCCCAAATGAAAGGAAAATAAACAAATAAACAAACAAATAAAAAGGGTCAAGTAGATAGCTCCAAGTGCTCAGGGCAGACTGTGCATGCTAGAGCCCACCAGGCATGCCCTACCCCCAGCCCCCACTAGAGAGAGGAAACAGTAGACTAGAAGTAGTTTAAATGTTATGTACCAAAGTTATTTTGTTATATGTATTAGTTAAAGTTATTGTTAGAATCCTCTAAAATATCACTTAACTAAGGACAGCAACATCCTCATGTTAAAATTTAAACACAGAATCTAAATGTTGGGCCTGGAGCATAGCACAGCCGGTAGGTAGGGAGTTTGCCTTGCACGGGGCCAACCGGGGTTCGATTCCCAGCATCCCATATGGCCATATGGTCCCCTGAGCACCGCCAGGAGTAATTCCTGAGTGCAGAGCCAGGAGTAACCCCTGTGCATCTCCAGGTGGGACCCAAAAAGAAAAAAAAAATCCAAATGTTAGGTCTTGAGTAATCAGAGCCACAGCTTGGTGCTGACTATAGGGGTTATGATGAACATCTGTGCTGATAAGGTAGGAGAAGGTGCACTCTGAACAGTGTGAAGGACCATTCACTCCCACCTAAACTGTGTCTTGCTCACTCTTTTGATGTTTGGATAAAATGTATCTTGTACTCCTTATATCATTCCCACACTAGGATGTGGGAATGTTACTTTGTTTTTGATATAAACATAAGTACAAATTGTTAATCTTGTAAGATTTCACTCTGGGAATTCTAGGAAATTCCCTGGAAAACCCGGGTATGCAGGATTTTGTGACTGATTTTTGTGGGCTCAACGGGACCTGGTATGGAGATCCCCTGCCTGTATTTCCCTGTCTCCAGTGACTCAGAAGTCATGCCCATTACCCACCTTTGGCTAGTGCCAAATAATCACGTCATCAGCCACCGTTCAGCTGGCAAGTCCTTCTCTCCTAGAAGGGAGCAACATGATGCTCTCCGTAACCATGCCACTGGACCCCGTGCCCGGCTGTTTCACTTGGGGTGCCCCAGATGGGGGCGGGTGAGACCCCTTCCCACCCCAAGGGACCCAGCCCTGGCAGCCAAAGATCATCACAATTCAGCAGCCGCCACACTCAAGGCTGCTCTCCACACACTCGGGCTGAGCCTCACACGAGTGAATCCCCAGAAAACCCAGGTATGCAGGATTTTGTGACTGAAAACTCTGGGCTCAGCAGGACCAGGTATAGAGATCCACGGCCCATATTCCCATCTCTGGTGACTCAGCAGTCACGCCCATAACCCAACTCTGGCTGGCGTCAAATAGTCACATCATCGGCCACCATCCAGATCCCATGTCCTTCTCTTCCAGAAGGGAGCAACATGACATCCGCCATAACCATGCCACCAGACCCCACGCCAGGCTGTTTCACTTGGAATGCCCCAGAGTGGGGCAAATGAGACCCCTCCCCACCCCAAGGGACCCAGCCCCGGCAGTCAATTAAATCTCCAGAATTCAACTGCCGCCACGCTCATGGCCGCTCTCCACACACTTGGGCTAAGCCTCACCCACAGTGCATCTATTACTGGACAGCGCAGCCGTAAATACGGCCGCAGGATAATTCAAACCAAATACTACCCATACACCAGGATTACTGCACCACATTTAACAGGGTTCAAAACAGGAAGCAACCAATCTTAGAGAGAAATATACATTTTTTTTTACACACACACACATATAAATATATATATATATATAACACAAGGCTCAACCTTTAACATGTCAGTGATCTCTTATAGAAGGGCTTAATGACCCCTGGGTAAATACAACAATCTTCACACTCTTTCTCCTAAGGATTTTTTTTCTAGCTTTCTCCACAGATTTTCGTAACAAAAAATACAAAATATTTCAGTTCTGCTTTGAGGCAGGGGTTGGATTTTGGGATGGAAACATCCGAAATATGGTGGAGGAAGGTAGAATGGTGGTGGGATCGGTGTTTGAATATTAAATGTAATCAAATATTGTAAACTACTTTACAAAATAAAATAACTTAGAAAAAAAGATTTCACTCTGCTTCTATGTTTAAATGTAACCTCAGTCTTTGAATCATTTGTTCATTAGAGTTCCAAGACCCATTGGGATCCCTGGACCTGGACCATCAAGATGAGATAAATTTCTTTCCTATTCCCCTTCTGTGTCTTGACCGTCTCATTGGTCAATACATCAACAAAGATATGATGAACTCGGGCAAAACATTCAAACTGGTCTTTGGTAGCTTTTCCAACAGCATTCCTTCCCCCCACCCCCCTTCCATGCCCAACAATTACAACTTTGCTTCTGTGTTTCAAGGTTCAAGAAAATCACTCATGTAAGAAGCTGAAAAGAGGCCCCGGTGAGCACTTACTTCACTAAGGAAGCTTTGCGGCACAGTTTATCAGCCCCCCGGTAATAATTCACCAACTGCATCAGCCCAGGCTCGTGACCTAGGAAGGAAAGAGGCAGCTCAGTGGGGGAATGGGACTGGTGGGAAATGACAGCGTCAGCAGGGGCAGAACAGCTGGGTGGGTGGGTCCGTCAGGCCCTGCTCTACTCCCCATGCAGGGCTGGCAGGGAGGGGTGAAGACAGGAACAAGTCTGGTCCCTGAGCTCACAGTCTCCCTCCTCACCCTCCCTGGAGTGCACACTGTGATGGCAACTTTGTAAATGTGCAGATAGCTACTTCTACAGTTCCTTCTCAGGGGATTAAGGGGGAAACATTTTCTATTCCACCTCTCCCTGCTCTCAACTGTGCCCTCACTCTCACTCGGACATACACACAAGGATGTCATGATCTATCTAGAAAGGCCCTTCATCTGGCTTTGAAAACTCCCTGCTTCTGGCCAGCCATCAAGGCAGACAGGAGAACGAAGACACTGTAGTATTTTTTGGGGGGTGCTCAGGGGTTCCACCTGGCTCTGCACTCAGGAATAACTCCTGGTGGTGCTCGGGGGACCATATGGGATGCTGGGGATCGAACCCGGGTCGGCTGCGTGCAAGGCAAACGCCCTACCCGCTGTGCTATTGCTCCAGCCCAGACACTGTAGTATCTTAAAGTGTATAGGGCAGTCACTTTCTGGGAGGTGAAGGAAGGTGGTACCAGCAGGGGGTGAAGGAAAGCCATCGCTGGTGCGGGGCTGGCAAGTGCAGGACTGGAGCACAGAATGAGTCTCAGCCAGGCAGTGGGAGGCCCTCCCTCACCTGTATCCGAACCACTGATTGACAGAGAACTTTACTAAAATAAAAACCAAACAATAAACATTTGAATTGAAGCAGGCAGAGGTGACAATAATTCATGGAGGCAGAGCAGATGATTAAATGTGTCAGCCATTACCCAACTCCACGGGACCCTGGGGGGGCACAAGTCCCTGGCTCACATCTGAAACCCCACACCCCCAACCTTTTCCACACCATGGACTGGCACTTCTGTGTCCTACCAGATCCTCTAAGCTTTCTTCTCCTTTGTGCAGTCATTTCTGGAGGGATGAAATGGACCCTCCTCATCCTGTACATAAGCTTTAACCAGGAGGGGCTGGAGCAATAGCACAGCTGGTAGGGCATTTGCCTTGCATGCGGCTGACCCGGGTTCGATTCCCAGCATTCCATATGGTCACCTGAGCACCGCCAGGGGTGATTCGGTGAGCACAGAGCCAGGAGTAACCCCTGTGCATCGCTGGGTGTGACCCAAAAAGCAAAAAAAAAAAAAAAAAACCTTTAACCAGGAGAAGTTGGCTAGGGTGCCATTCTAAAGACCCTGGGAAAACCATGCCACAACATCACCCCCCCACCCCTTAACGAATGCAGACACCCTCGCCACACCCTCCATCTCCGCTGGCCAGCAGCGCTACCAGGTTTCTGCCCTGGCCCATGCCCTGGGATGACACCCGTGCCCTCTGGGGTCCCTTGGAGCAGAGATGACTCTGCTTCCGCACTGTCCTCTCTTTCGCACTATCGTCTCTTCTCATCTCTTCCCTGGAGTCTCTGGCTCTACACGGTGGCTCCAACATCTCGGGGCAGGGCCGCGGCAGGGCCACACACGCCGGGGTCAGGAACCGGGTGTGTGTGTGTGTGTGTGTGTGTGTTGGGGGCCGTGTTGGGGGGGGGAGCAGGGGGCAGGGCTGCGAGCTGAAGCCTGTGCACAACTTGGGGTTACGTCACCCTACAGGGAGGAGCCACCTGAGTAGATGGAGTAGATGTGGGGTGCCCAAGGAGACGTGGGGGTGCACAGCCGGCGCCCAGCAGGGAGCGGGGCAGGTGCCCCCCACACCCGCGCGTGTACGACAGCGGAGACGCACCTTTGCAACAGCATCGGGCAGTGCGAGGCCGACACCTTCCTACCTTCCCGTCCTGGTGGCGCGGCCCGCTTCAGAAGCCCTCGCTTTCGGAACCGGATTTTTAATTCATTAATTTTTTTTCCAAATCCTCCCACCTAATCTCTCGGAGCCCACCGCGTTGGGGAGGGGGAGGGCGTATCCTCCCGGGCATCTCGAGACGCCTGAGTCCCTCTCCCGTGCCCACGCAGGCCTCGGGGACACGGACTGCGCCGGACAACCCCAGCCGAGGGGCGTAAGGAATGGGGGCACACGCGGCTCCCCAGCCCGCAAACTGCGGCAGCCCCGGGTGCAGGGACCCGTCATGGTCGGGCGCATCGCCGGGAGATACGAGCCGCGGGCCTGATTTCGGAGACTCGGAGGCGCCGCCCACGATGCACCCGGCCCGAGAGGGACCCTTTTTGTGTGTGCAAGCGCTCGAGCAAGCCCCGGAGGGGAGGAGGCGCGACCCTCAGACAAAGCGCCCCTCCACCCGCCCGGGCGCCGGGCACGCGCTCACCCAGTCTCCCGAAGGGCAGCCGGTTTCTTTCGCCCAGCATCAAGTTGAACCGGGGGTTGTCCCGCCGCAGCCGCTTCCAGTAGCCGGTGGCCAGCAGCAGGCGGGAGACCTCGGCGTAGACGCTGCTGTTCTCGTCGCGCACCACGAAGGTGTACATGGCGCCAGCGCCGCGCGCCCGGGACTCCGAGCCCGCAGCCGCAGGGAGAGGCGGCCGAGGAGGCGGCTCCGCGCGCCGCCAGCCCGGCGCTCGCGGGTTCCTGCGCCCGCCGCGCTCCGGCCGCGCCCCCGGCGCTCCCGCGGCGCCCGGCTCTGCTCCCCGGCACCGCCCCCGCCCCGCGAGGCCACGCCCCTGCCAGTCAGGTCCCGCCCCTGCCGCAAGGCCACGTCCCACCCCGCCCTTCGAGGCTCCGCCCCCGCCCCGCGAGGCCACGCCCCACCCGGAGAGGCCCCGCCCCTGCCGCACAGCCTCGCCCCGTCCCGCCCCGCGCGGCTCCGCCCCCGCCCCGCGCGGCCACGCCCCAGCCGGCGAGGTCCCGCCCCTGCCGTACGGCCACGCCCCACCCCTCCCTCACGGCTCCGCCCCCGCCCCCGCTCGCTCCACGCGCCTCCCCCACCTTCGGCTAGGGCTCGGTTGCAGCCTCGGCCTGCGCCCTGCGGCCTGCTGAGCCCCGGCTCCCCGGCCCTAGGGGCCGCGCTAGCGTTAGACACTATTTGTCGAGGGGCCCTTCCAGATCTCCCACCTACTGTTGCAATGGAGAAGTTCATCGGATTCCAGTCTGTATCCGGGGCTACTGGCTCTGCTGCCTGCTGGGACCTCCAGAGTCACTGGGTTTGGGGATGTAACTCAAAATGTAAAATAAATAAATAAATAATAAAAATGATCGAAAGCAGGCATGCAGAACCTTTTTTCTGCCAAGGATCATTTGGATATTTGTGACATTAGCCATACAAAGCATGGCAGACAGGTGGCAAGCAGCGGGCCGGCCAGAACACATAGCATGTGGGGCTCAACGTTATACATGGGACTGGCCGGACGTTCCCTATCCTTGAAAAGCCTGGTTCTTGGGGCCAGAGAGATAGTACGGGGGTAGGGCACGTGCCTTGCAGTTGGCTGACCTGGGTTTGATTCCCAGCATCTCATATTCCCTTGTGCTGCCAGGAGTGATCCCTGAGCACAAGAGATTGGGAGTAAGCGATCCCTAAGTGCCTCTGGGTGAGGGGCCCAAACCATAAAGAAAAGCTTTGTTCTTATAAACTAAGAAAGAGGACCAGAGAGATAGCTCAAAAAGTTGGAGTTAATGCTTCGTGTGCTGAGCCCCGCATTGCACCCCCAACACCATATGGTAGCCCCCAGCACCTCTAGGAGTGACAGCCAGTGAGCTAGGAGCAGCATCTAATTTGGCCCCCAAACGAAACCAAACAAAAACTAAAAAGGAATTTAAAAACAAAGTCAAAATAGGTAGAAGGAAAGAAATCATAAGAGAAGATAACAGGAAGTACAGGCATGTACAATAACTGAGGAGCTCCTTGGATGTGGTTCTGTGGTAGAAAGTATGTTTGAGCCACATGCTCTGGGTTCAATCACTGCAAATAAGTAAATACACAAAGCCAAAAAAGGATGTCTATTATTTAAATGTGATTTAAATTGTCAGGCAGCCAGAGGAAACTTGCTGATGCAATTAAGGATAAGGACCTGGGACTGGAGAGATTATCCTGGTTTATCAGTGTAGACTTTGTTTATTTACTAACGTGTCTAGTGGAGTATTAAAAAAAGACAGCAGTTGAATGGATCAGAGAAATGAGATGAAAAAAGAGCACATTTGGCTTGCTTTTCAAGACCATTTCTCCCTGGAACACATATCTCTCTTGCTTTTTCAAGCTCTCTTGAGCACTTATTGTTTTCTTTCCCTCTTCAAGATCTTTCTAAGTAAGTTTTGTTCAATTAAAAGCTATCTTGCAAGAAGGGGGAGCAAGAGGAGGAAGTGGAGGAGGAGAATAAGGAGAAGGAGGAAGAGAAGGGGGAGAAGGAGAAGAGGAAGAGAAAAGGAAGGAGAGGAAAAGAAATTCTAAGGGGTGGGGTTGGGGGTGCTTTGAATCTGTCCTTGCTAGCTTTGAGGACAGATAAAGGATATAAATTAAAACTACTATCCTGAAAGTTAGGAATAACTGGTAGTTGACAACTATAAAGGACTTGGGGGTCTCCACCCAGAACTGTTCTATCACAACTCTGGGGGGCCCTTCATCAGAAAGGAACACAGCTCAATCCAAACCCTGAATCGACTGTGTGGCACCACTCACCTAAAATAATCACTTTGTGTTGAATAAATTGTTAAGCATTCAAAACAAATTGAAAAAAAACACAAAGAATCAATATTAAAAGTTTAAAAGGACATCAATAGAGATCCTGAGGACTCTAAAAAGAATAAGATGCTATAAATAGGGTCCAAAGCAATAGTACAGTGGGTAAAGCGTTTGTTTTGCATACAGTCAACCAGGGTTCAACTCCCTGACATCCCATATGGTCCCTTGAGCACCACCAGGAATAATTTCTGAGTGCAGAGCCAGGACTAACCCCTGAACATGGTTGGGTGTGACACCCCTCCCAAAAAAACCCAACTATTAACATGTCTTTACAGTCTGACAGTATATATCAAAATATATATTTTAAAAAAACCCTTTTTTTATATATTGAAAAAAAAAAACATTGTGGGGGCTGGAGCAATAGCACAGCGGGTAGGGCGTTTGCCTTGCACGCGGCCGACCCAGGTTTGATTCCCAGCATTCCATATGGTCCCCTGTGTACTGCCAGAGGTAATTCCTGAGTGCAGAACCAGGAGTAACCCCTGTGCATTGCCGGGTGTGACCCAAAAAGAAAACATTGTGGAACATGTGGGCCTAAAATCAATTATGAATAACTTTGTAAATCATAGTGCTTTAATAAAAGTTTTTAAAATAAAGAAAGAAAAGCCCATTTTGCCTAAACTGACAAAGAAATATAAAATCTCATATCTATTAAAAGATTAATTTAAAATAAGAAGACCATAAAAAACACATCAGTATTTTCTAGAGTCTGAGGAGAGTGAGGGCTGAAATTTGAAAGAAATTTGGGAGAGTTGCTGGATGTGTTCTTGATTTTGATTGTGGATCTTGAGCTGTGTCAAAACTCATATAATTAAATAATGAGATAGGTAAACTTTACTGTGTCTTAATGATTATTATAAAATCCTAGCCAAAATGTGTGTGTTGGGGGAAAGATTTCATACAGAAAATATTCTCTCTGAGAAAAGAAGAGACCATCATTCATTTTATTTTAAAAGGACATTATAAACTTGATTTTAAAATGTAGCAAAGGCATATTAAGGAAGGAAATTTAGAGCACAATCTCTTCTAAAAGCATATATGTAAAATTCTAGATAGGTGTAATAATTCTAAGGAAAATATAGCCCATCCATATGTCTATGAGTAATAATACTTCATGACACAGTGGAGTTGGTGTAAGACTGGTTTCATGTTAAAAAATAATATATGGGAGTGATTAAAACTCTCTCAGCTCACAGATGAGTTGGAATCACATAGAAGAAATTAAAGAATGTATAAACACATAACTAACAAATTCAGCAAAGTTGTTGGATACAAAAAACAACATACAAAAGTCACTTGCATTTTTATTTTCTAACAACAAACAACCCAAAAAAGAAAATTAGGAAAACAATCCTATTTATAAGAGCATCAAAAAAACAGCTCATTAAAGCAATATTTGAAAGAAAAAAATCTCATTTTTCACAGATGGCTTAACTCTCTATAAGTTACAAGCAATTGGGGCCAGAGAGATAGTGTAGGGGTAAAGCACTTTCCTTGCACATAGCTGGCCAACACATAATATGTGTTGATCCCCAGCAACACATATTATTCCTCTGAGCATTGCCTGGTATGCCTTCCGAGTGTGCCAAAAATTTTATTAGCAGTTAGAATTTATAACTTAATTAAACAAAGTCAGTACATAAAAGGTAAATGTATACCTAATATTTCTATATATTTTATTATGAATAACAACAAAAAACACAATTCTAACATTGTCAAGAAATGTCAAATTATTAGGACTGTATCATAAAAACTGTGCAATATTAACAGTAAAACAAAAAATTACACAATGAAGAAATTTTAAAAGTATTGAATAAACAGAAGAATATACCAAGTTTATGAAGGGGAAGACGGAAAGTTGTTAAGCTGTCAGCTCTTGCCAAATTTGCCTATCGATTCAATACAATTCCAGGCAAAATTTCTGCAAACTGTTCATGGAAATTGAAGACAAAGGAATAAGAATAGCAAAAGCAACCATAAAGAAGTTGAAGGACTTCTTACATATAATCAAATTATATGATTTTAAACAATCTGGTTATAGTAAAATACAGATATATGGTGATTAACACACTATGGTTTGGAATTAGGACAGATAGACCAATAAGAGGAACCTATATAAACACTTTCATGGGGTTGGTTCATAACAAAGGTGACCCGCAGATCAATAGGACAAAGGATGTACTGTTCAATAAATGGGGCCGAGTCAATAGCCATCTGCTTGAAAAACAAAATTAAACTTGACCTCTACAACACACAAAAATCAGTTGCAGATTTATTGTGTCCTAATGCATCTAAATATGAAGTGAAAAGCAACAAAGCGTTCAGGAGAAAACAGAATAAAATTATTATGATCCTATACAAAGTCAAGATTTCCCAAAAATATCTATGAACAAGGAAAAAATAATGTATTGACAACATTAAAATGAAAACTTTTATTATCATAAGACACCATCAAGACAATAAAAAGAAACACCAGGGATTGGAGAAATAGTACAGTGGGAAGGGCACTTGCCTTGCCCATGACAAACCCAGGTTTGGTCCCCCGCTCTACAAATGGTCCCTTGAGCACCTCCAGGAGTGATTCCTGAACACAGAGCCAGGAATAAATCTTGAACACTACTGGGCGTGGCCCCAAAATAAAAAGAAGAAAGAAGAAAGAAGAAGGAGAAGGAGGAAGAGAACGAGAACCACCAGCAGTACATAATGATGTCTGATAAATGTGTGTACACATATAAATCTGACAAAATAATTCATATCTGGGCTATATAAGAAAATTTAAAAATTCATAATAAAAAACTGGTAAGTCAATTTGCAAGATTTCTGATTTAGGATGTTTGAAGGTCCAACTTGAGAGGTGAGACCTCAGCAAAAAAGAAGATTTGATAAAGAGCCATATGGAGAAACTAAGGAATATGTTAGGCTGTTTAGGGGGTCCATATCTATAGTTGTAGGCT